AACACGGCGTTGGCCTGCATTCTCACGCTGTGGTCTGGCCGGATGCGGCACAGGTTGTGGTTCGAGATTCCATCGTTGCCTAATATCAGGAGCAGGTGGCGCTGCCTGACGAGATGGACCGGCTTGTCCACTCTGACGAGGACGATATTGTTCTCTCTGTGGTGGAGGTTGTCCAGGAGGTAGACCGGGAACAAATGGTATCTCCGGATTCTCGTATGGTTCCGGAGTTGGGCTTCGATATTGTTCATAACGATCGGCTGGATCGTCATTGACTTCGTCATCATCCTCTTGTTGCGGTTCGTCTTGCCGCGGTTGTGGATGTGCGTTGTCTGGGGGTTGATTATCAGGTGTGAAGTCATCCGGACTGGTAGGGTCCGGGTTCGGCAGGTCGGGTAGGACAGGTGGAAGTGGATCTTGAGATGTTCCAGGCTCACGAGGCCTTTCATCTCGCTTGGGGAAGGAAGACTCATCGAAGGTGACGTCGCGTGACACAACGATGGTCCGGGCAGTTGGATCCCAGAATCGGTAACCCTTTGTACCGATTTCATACCCGACGAAGATCATCACTTTAGCCTTTGGCTGTAGTTTATTGACCCTCGCATCCTTATGTGTGTGGACATAGGCTTTGCAGCCCCATACTTGAAAGTACGATACGTCCGGAACAGTGCCGTTCCATTTAGTGATGGGCGGCTTCCATTGATGACGGCGCAGAGGTTGTCGATTGTATATGTGTACTGCTGTTTCCGATGCTAGCTTCCAGAACCCAGACGTCATGCCAGCGTGATGTCGCATAGCTTCTGCCTTATTCTGAATGGTCTGTTGCCAGCGTTCTGCTCTGCCGTTCTGTTGTGGTGTTCGTGCCACTGAGAGTTGACGCTCTATTCCTCGTTCTGCTAGGAAATCGTCGAATTCGCGGCCTAAAAACTCCCCCCCACGGTCCGAACGTATAGCCTTGAGCTTGCGCTCGGCCTGTGTTTCCGCCCAAGCGACGAATTGCTTGAAGGCAGAGAAGGCATCAGACTTCCGTTTCAGATACCAGACTAAACCAAATGAAGAATAGTCGTCGAGGGTGGTTAGGGCAAACTTGTACCCGTCGAGTGATAACGACGGATATTCGACAAGATCCATGTGTATTAAGTCGAGGGGATGATCCGCACGACTGTCAGACGCAGGAAATGCATCGCGACGAGACTTCCCGAATTCGCATCCATCACAGGGAGTATCCCTGGTTGGTGCCAAGATTTTATCCGGGACGCCTTTGACGTTGCCGGGCAGTTGAACAACTGATTTCTTCCCGGCGTGTCCGAAGCGACGGTGCCACAAAGTATATGGATCGTCGGATTTGACCGACATTAATGTTCCTGGCTTAATCTCGCTGGTCCTGGTAAGGACTTCAGCTTCTAGCCAATATAAACCTGACAACTTTTCATATTCGCCCTCCATTAAAACTGTCCGCTGTGTTGGGTCTGACCCGCGGAGTAACTTAAACTTCTTGCCATCCATCTCAATACGGTGACCGTTATTGAGAGGCATTCTGGGTGCAAAGAACCGTTCTGCTGCTTCCGGTACGTATAATACGGTTTCTAACCGGATATGCTGAATTCGTCCATCTGTGAGACGATGTTGCAGAGCGATTTCACCGTGACCTTTAATTTCGATAGTCTGACCTTTGCCGGCCGTATGTGCATGACCTGGCTTAGGGAATTCATGGTACCGAATAAAGTCAGTTTTGTACGGTGTGACATGTGTTGTGCAACCGCTGTCGACCATCCACTTAGACTTGACACCCGTAGCATAAAGAGAAACAGAGATAGATTCTTCCTCGATTTTAGCTACAAGAGGTACATCGACTATGCGTATCGTATTAACTGTCTGAGTGGTCGTCGCGGTATTGTCCTTCGCTTTGCCCTTTCCTTTCCCCTTTTTGCGCTTTCCGCCACCCTGCTGCTGCTGCTGCGTGTTGTTGCCGTTACCGGAACTCGAGCCAGAATTCGCCGGCTTTGTGTCCCAGTGCTGCTCCGTCGTGTGATTCTTGCGACCACACTTCTCACATTTCTTGTCTAGGAGGGGCGCCTTCGAGACGCGCGCAATCTGAGTGCGGTTCGCGACGCGGCGCTGTTCCTCCTCGACAATCTTGGGCTTGATGAGCGCCGCTGTGAGCAGCGTAACATCAGTCTGCGTGGTGAGAATTGTACCAGCGATGGTCTGGTACGACTTTGGGAGAGCGTTTATCATGAGCAGGGCAAGAAGCTGAGGTTTTACTTCTATTCCCGCCGCGTTGACCTGGTTGGACTGCTCTGTGAGCGCGTCGAGTTGCGGGCCGAGCGCGGAGCTGTCAGAGAGCTGTGCATTGAACAGCTTCTGGAAGGCGACGAATGCGCCTACCGCTCCGGGTTTCTCGTAGCCGGCCTTGATCGCGGTCCATGCGTCCAGGGCCAAGAACTTGTCATCGACGAGATGACGAAGGTTCTGCGCGACGTAGAGCTGGATGATGCCCAGCGCCTTGTCATTTTTCTCATCCCATGCAGCTTGAGCTAGGATTTCCGTAGCCGTGGGTGTACCTGTTGCAGCTATTGGTCTGGCAAGACCAGGGACAGGAACGGTCGCTGTGGAGCCGTATCCCTGG